GACTGTGAGATTCACCTCATGTAGGCTTAGGTGGCCACAACACAAATTTTTACACCTCAGCTGGGCATCCTCAGTGCCCTTTCTACTCAATAAAGAAGAATAGGCAAATTTAGCTCATAACTCATCTGACCTATTCTGGACATTTGCAATCTTTGCATCCTCAAATCGCTCCAGTGAATATAAAAAGAGTGGCTGTATCAGATCTAGGTGTCAGCAACTGTTACATGTACTGGTCAAATGGATCCCACTCAAAACTATATCTTCCACAAAGTGAAATCTGCGTGGTACCTTTTAAAAAATTTGATCAGCCAATTATGTGATCCTGAGTATGAGGTTTCTGCTGGGGCTCAGCTCAGAGCTGAGGATAAAGAAGCCTTTCAGAGCAATATATAATATAATTAGGATGTTATAATATAATTAATATAAAATAATAATATACATATAACAATATATTATATTACATGATATAATATTACATCATATAATATGCTATTACATGATATTATATAATTAATATAATGTGATATAATATGATATGATTAATATAATATAATATAATTCACTTCCATCTTAATGACTGGTTTCTCCCAGCTTCCAAATGTTGTCATGGTCAAGCCAATGAGCATGTTCAGTTGCTGTAAATAAGATCCTGGATTTTATGTGCACACATTGGGATATTTAAGACAGTTACTTGCAATAGCTGAGCTCCATAGCCCATCAAACATTTTAAAAAGTTTATTCTTAAAGTCAAGGCATCCTGGTCTGTTTGGATTGACACTGAAGTCAGCATGACACACTATAAGGAAAGTCTTTGGGAGCACTGTGAGCTAGTGGGACAAACTTTGCAAATATCATAAAAGAATTCAGTTAATTAGGTGAGCTGGGTATTAATTAGGTGAGTTGAATAGCAGCAACAGTCAAGTTGAAATAACCTGGTGCCCTCAAAGAAGGAGAAAAATGAGTGTGCATACACAGATACCTTGTTGAGGAAAATCCAACAGATCCAGGTGATTGGTAGCTATCAGTAAATCATCAAATCTGATGATTTCTAGGCCTGGTTTTGAATCTCTGTAGACCAGCAGAGCTCTGCTCTGTAAGCAGAGAGCTCTGCCAGTTTATGTCAGCTGAGAATGTCGCCCCCAGGAAGAACAAATAGAAAAAAGAACCACAATAAGATCTCTCTGAGCAAACTTTTATCAGTTTAATGGAGGTGTGCCTAATCTTTCACAGGCAGAGAGCCAAGAAAATAAAATGTACAGTGTCAAAATGCTGCAAGCTTTTAAACCCACCTAAATTAGTATTTTTAATAGAATTCCAGCTAAAAGAAGGCACCACAACATTAAACTTTGCTGACCATTTGTCACAGGTTAAACGGCAATAAATATTTGGAAAGTCTTTTCTATAACACTACAGTTTGGTTTAGTTCTTTTAGGGGTAACTTACTTTTGTTGGGAAAAAATAGCAGTAGCAAAATGCCATTTCCTTGCACAATATTTAGTAAATATACACTCTTATAGCCAGCCAAGTAAAACCTCAGCCTCCTCCTGTACCTCTCAAATCATCACTGGCTACTTTATCACTTGACAGTTTCAGCATGGGTGATAAAGAGTCAAAAAAAAAAAAAAAAAAAAACAGATAAAAAAACATAAAAATACAAAAAAAGCCCCACCCACCTCTTTAATACTTTTTCCTCACTTTCCCTCCTGTTGTCTCCACGTATGTCTTTTTTTTCTCTTGTCATAAATCTGCTTTTGCAATTGTGGCCCAAAGAGTCTCTTCATTTGTAGACCACCTGGAATAATGGAAAATCTCTTATTGCTAGTCCTCAAATTCCATAATATAAAGAATTTGTAAAACAATTTCAAAATATCTGCCATTTGGAGAAATTATGCTGAGTGTAGATCTCTACCTTAAAAAAAAAAAAAAAACCCTAAAACAAAATAGTTACTTCTTTAGAAATTCATGCCAATAAAAATAAAATTAAAACTCAGTCCAAAAAAGTAGGTTTTATATAACTCATTGTTGGAAAATGTTTGCTTCTGGCTGACAATTTGTATGCAAATGAAAACAACAGAGTTATAGCTGGTGCTCTCCTGTAACCTTCACAGTGTTGCTCACTGGGTGCCTTTAGAGTGAAGTGAGATGCTTTTGTCAGAATTACCAACGTTTTTAGAGAAGTAATTCTGAGTGGAATTAAAACGACTTTCTGCACCTTAAAAGGGCAGTGAAAAGGGAGAGAGGGAAAAGAGAGAGTGAATTGGTGCATTCCCTTCATTATGAATTAAGTATATTTATTTAAAACAGGCCACTCCACAGAGCACCATATGAGTTAATACTTTCTTGCCACAAGTTTGAAAGCCCCGCTTCTCAAGGGGAAAAACCTTTTTTTTTTTTCAGCAACCTGAACTCTGGGAGCATCCCTGTTATTTGCAGAGAAATACATGGAGAACATCACTGAGGTAATGGCTAATTGTGCATAAGAGGGGTGCTCTCCACTCCCACCCAAGATTGCACAATTTCAGGACACTTTGCAGCTCACAGGGTCCTGATCCTCAGGTGTTACTTAGCAGTAGTGAGTCTAGAATTCTCTAAATATTTCAAACTTTTCTGATGTATACATCTTCTGCTTCTAAAGAAACAAAAGTGTCTGTGGCTGCTTCCTCTTTGTTTCATCCTCCTGTTTCCATTACTGATTTAAGGAAGGTATACACTGGGACCCACAGCAACGTGTCTACAAAATTTATTACTGCTCATGTTTCAAAACCAGATGAGTTTGTGAGTTTACTGTTTGGAGTGTGTAGCCTGTCTCAGTTTTTGTCTCTCACAACCAGCCAGACCATTGTGCCAATAACAGCAAAGAGGCAAGAGCACTTTCAGATCTTAATTATTTCGCTTTTCCTTGGGATCACAAAGTCCTCGAGTTTTAGGGGGGCTGAGGTCCAGTTTAACTTACTGCGTAGTGGTAAGTTAGCACTTTAATTTAGAGCAGCTTTTACATAGAGCAGACCGTGATCTGTGAGTGCTGTTGCACATAAAATGCACATAAAAAAAACCAACAGTATAAGCTGTGCAAAACTGATATGCTAAAAGATTTTGCATCTTGTCAATGACAATTTTGCTCTGATCCTGAGCAGTGCTGCTGGCTGGCTGAGGCACTGGGTTGAGCGCAGTCTGGTTTTACAAACTGGCTCTAAAACTTTCTGTGAACAATCAGCTACCGGAGGATGAAGAGAAGCACTGAGAGAGCCTTGCTCTTCAGGCTGAGCTGATTTATGAAGGGGTCACTTGCCATTTGCTCATATTCCAGGGTGCAGAAGTCCTGCCAGGCATTTTCTCTCCGGAATTCTTGGGGATGCGCTGCGGAGCGCTGGATTTTATGGAGAGGGGTGCCTGCCTTGCTCTCACATTCCTGCTGACACCCAGTGGCTTCCCAGCACAACTGCACACCCTCCTCAGCAGCCACGGAACTGCCAAAGTCGCAGCAGCATTTCACGGAATTTCAGCTAATCTCACTGGCATCGACACCCTCTTCCTTTTTAATCGCATTTTAGAGAGAAAAATAAGGAAAACAAGGGAAATTATTTGTTTGGAAACACGCTGCAGGACAGCACCCGGGCTGTGACAGTGCTGCTCCATAGGTGGGGACCTGGATATGGCTTTGGAAAGAAGAAATGATCTCAGGAAAAAAAAAAAAAAAAAACGGAGGAGAAGTGCCCTCTGACTCTTGCCTTTTCATGCAGGAAGAGGTGAGGAATCGTGTTGTGACCGCAAAAGGCATTTGGGCATAAACCAATTTTTCACAGTACAATATGCCATCACCTCCAGCTCCCAAAAGTTTTCACGCACAGTTTGGGGAAAAGAAAAGGGAAATTTAAAAAAGCCTTCACACAGCTTCAATTTTCTCTAAAATAAGGTGATTTCCTATAGAAACAAATGTCATACCCTGCCAAGTGTGAGTGCTAGGCCCTCAATATTAGTGGATATTTTATATTTTCTTTAAGTCCCTCTCAGCCTTTGGTAAAAGTCCCAAAATAAAAGAGCCCAGCTAAGGATCTTAAGCCTGGCCTATTATTGGTTTCTTTACAGCAGCCTTTTCTGCTTTTGGAGACAGCTGCCTTGTAACTCGTTCTAAGCGAAAGAGGAATGGGATTTGTATAAAATCCCAGGCATTTGTATAAAAACTCATTTATGTGCAGGATCCAGCTTTGTGAATGTAAACAGCAGCTAAAAACAGCCTTCATCTTCTCTATTCCAGAAAAAAAAGGAGAAAAACCAGCCTGTACAAAGCATATGGAATTCACTCAAACTCCATCATCCACATGTATTAAAAGTAAAAAAGAATGAAACAATGAAGTAAAAGCAAAGTAGTATCAAGAAACAATATCAAATGGAGAAACGCTGGCTAAATGCAGTTGCAATGCAAAGAATGTGCAGGCACAAGGAGTGTGCCCACACAATGTGCATTTTAAGGACTCACCAGCTAATATTTCCCATCTCTTTCCAGAAGCCATACGGTAAACAGATAGCACTAACAAAGTCAAATATTAATAACCAAGAACTGCACATCTCCAAATCCCCTTCCCCCAACCAGCAAAACCCATAGAAATTTACACTGACCAAAGCAAATAGAAAATAAAAGTCAAAGCACTTACATGGTTGACATTTAGGGATAGAACCAAGTACCCTTTCCATCCTTTTGAATTTCCTAAGTTATAACATTAACAGAAAATAAATACACATTGAAATGGAGTAACTCATGATCTTGTCACACTGTCACTGACAAGTTACAGTAATAAGGTTTTGAAACAGAATGTCCCAAGAAGAAATTTTAAACTGTCTCTAGACAGCTCGGATCAATTTAGCATTTTGTCACACTCTCAAGCAATCTGCTTGGCTTTGTCCACCCAGAGCAGCTTTCTCAGTAAAATTACTTTCCAGCCACACAGTTCTTTTGAGGAGCAGCATATTTTTAACTCTCCTGACTCTGTGATTGTTTTCAGGTTTGATGAAACAGAGAGAGAGAAACAGTTTGCAGAAGCACAAAAACAAATCTACAGAAATGTTGATGGAGGTGACACAACTCATCCCTTCACCTAAAGCCTGAATGATGCTTTGGAGGGTGTAGAATTAAGAAGGTAAGGAAAAAGATCTATTTCATATTTTATTGATGTTTCTGAGCCCTGTCCAGTTTCAAAAGTAGATGCCCCAGAGTAGAGCACATAGAAAAAAACATTTCAGCATCAAGAAACCATTCCTTCTAGCCAAAGTAACTGAGAAAATGACACTAAAAATGATCTGTGTGCTTTCTTTGTTGCTGAAGAGTCAGACTCCACAAGTCCTGCTCACAAAATTGTTTGAGACTACTAACATCTGCCTCAAACTCTCACATTTTTGTTATGAGAGATAGAGACTACATGATGCGTTTTTCACCTTCTACCTTTTGTTCCTTGTTTCTTGAAACACAAACTGAAAGCTGTGTGACATCTTGCAAACTTATTTCCCACTGAATTGCACGTTGAATTTAAATCTTGTAAGACTGAACGAAGCTTAGCTCAGAATCCCCAGGCATTATTATTAATCTAACTAAGATTTTGTTAAGATGGAGATTGGGAGAGGACTTGGATGCATTACAGACTTGCTGGTTCACCAGTTAGTAAGGCAATGACTCCTGTTTACTGAAGTTAATAAATTATGTTACTTCATGCACATGAGAAGCTGTTTTAAAAAAAAAAAAGTTAAGCCAAGATGAAATTTTTGTCTCAGTGGGGAAATTGTCTTTCCTTCACCTCTTTTCTGTCTTTTAATTTCCATTGCCTCATTCCATGAGGTGTTTGTTTGAAAGGACGAAATCGCAGATTTTTAAGTCAAGTACGAGACTAAAAGTGAAAATATTTAGATACCAAAAGTGAGCTATGATTTTGTGAAAGAGATTTCTGGGTCCTTCAGAGGGTACAAATTTGAAGAGAAATTTTTGTGTATTTTCTCCTTGAAGTGAAGGAGACTTTCCTGACTTTTTAGATTAACTCTTAGTCCAACATATTCTCTTTTCCTCTGTGGTAGGCTCGATGCTGATAATCTTTGTGATTTCATGCAAACAGATTCATTAATTGATAATTAGAAAAGCATTAAACTAAAATGGTGCAACATCCCACCAAAAAAAAAAAGACTATGAAACTTTGTAGTAGTTTTATATGAGAGGCACTTATAGAAGTGATGTAAAGCTTCTAACTAATAGAAAGCTATATATGTTTTTGTAAAAAAACATGTTTAAGATGAATAACCTGAAAACTTGGTTCTTATTACAAAACCATGCAGCATGAATATAAAATGTTAAGTGGCTGTATAGATACAGACACACAAATGCAGAAAAGAATAAGATTGCATATTTGTATAATCCTTACCTCTGGTTCTAAAACCAAAGAAAATTATAAGTGCTGCTATCTCAAAATTTTCAGCATACACTGGACATTTAGTTGCCTTGAGATTTTTTCCCCACCACTGAAACTACCAGGCCCCACATATTTCAAATGCTCTTATAAATTAAAGTCAGGATCTAAATTTGAATTTCTCTAGCCTATGAGGCTTGTTTGGCCTAAATTAGGAAATGAGGCCCAATATCAGTCAAAATTCACCACAGATATTATTGGGGAGGTATGTAGTGCAGTCATATTTTTAGTATCAGTTATAAATTTTCTTCATTTTGCTGATAAGCTTTTTGGTGTGGGAATGAAGTTTGTTCCTGCCAGAAGAATGATGGATGCCATCAGTGCCCAACAAATTATGGATAATTATACTCAAACTAGCTGCACTGTTCTCTGTTAACTACACATAGGAAATAATAGTACTTCAGGGAAAATTTGTTTAATGGGGGTCTCGTTTTAGGGAAGAAATGTGTGAAACTGCACCCAATGTCCAAACAGGTGAATATAGGAAGAGACTGAGCAACTGCCTGTGGAAATCAGAGAGAGGAGCTCTCCTGACATATTGTATATGAGATTAGGTGCTTTTTTATTAAAAAAGATGACAAAAATAAAACCACCAACAACAATAAAACAGACAAAAAGACCCAAAAAACAACAACAAGAAGAACAAAAAAACAAACTCCAAAAAAACCCCCCAAAAACACAAAGGAGTCAAGAATCTTGTTGTCTGTGGTGGGGTGCTGTTGGCTGCATTTGCCTGCATACATTTGGCTGATATATTTTAACAGATAGTGCTTTGCTTCCCATGACAGGATTGAAATCTGTGGCTGTACTGATGATATATTATTTCAAAACCAAATAAACACATAGAATCCCTTTTTCTGTGTGACAGTACTCAAACAGATAAGTAACAACAAGAGGAATGCTTGTGCTCTAGAAATCCATTTATTCAGAAAGATCCCATAGCACTTACTAGATTATTAAGAGAAATCGCCTGCACAGCCACTTTAAGAGTGGCAATGTGGCAGTGCTGCCCCGATGTCTGTGATGAGAGGAATGTCTTATCTCAGTGATTATTCTATAGATCATTAGTAACCTCTACAATCCTTGCTGTTGGTAATTGGCTGTAAATATGTTTGAGCTATAGACAATGTATAGAAGATGAAGCATGTCAAAAGCCTCATCCAAAACTCCTTGGAGTAAATCTCTATTCTCTCAGCTTCCTTTATTTCACCAGGGCTGCTTGATTGCTAGAAGATATTTGTGTTGTTCAGGGCAGTGTTCTTTGGATGTGACATATAAACCACAGCTCAAGAATGGTTTGGTTCAAAATTCCAGTGGGAAGGAGAAGGCAGGAGGTCTCCACAAGAGCCTGGAGAGAGCTGGAATGTCACAGCCCTGGCTGGAGCAGAGGATGATGCTCTTGAAACAGGGATGACAGGGGAAGCAAGGTCAAAGGAGTAGAGCAATGCCTGTATGTCCACAGGAGACAGATAGGGAGGTTGTGAAATTCTTTCTTAAAGTAAGAAACTGCAGAAGGTCTCCTGGTCATATGGGTTTTAATTTTTGCAGGATTGCTTTATATCCACTCTCAGCCAAGGGCTTGCTTATACTTTGATGCTAGAAGCAGAAATTTGAGTGCCTGGAGTTCCCATGCAGTTTGAGAACTGAAGACAGGAATTAGAAACACATATGTAAATGAAGCCTATCACAATCTGGTTGCAATATGTTGTTATATTCTACATAATATGGACATAAATATGTGACTCATTGTGAATATATTCCATTATCTTCCCTCTGAATCCCATTAACTGTTTTACATTAAACCCTAGGTAGTACTTGTTCTACTCCAGCACCAATTCCAACAAATTAAAAATGGTGACAGCCCTGCCTCAGTTGTACCATCCCAGTGTGGGCACTGGCATATATCACAGGACTGCTAAATTATCAATGTCCCTCTGATGCCACTCTGATTTTTGAAGTCAGCACATTTTGGAGGCAGTAAAATAGTGGCAGATCAAGATGTGGCAGGGGCCCATCTCCACTTCCCTGACTTGCACTCCTGGTAGCACAAAGTGAATTATGGCAGCTGATGGCTGCTCTCCCTCACAGAACCCAGAGACTCACCAGCCAAGTTCCTGAGCCTCTTTTGTAGCAGCATCAGGGTTGGAGGGCAGCTTCTCCTCCACCACATCCCAGCTCACCCAATCCACCCTCCTTTTGCACGCTCCCTGTGTGGGATGCTGCTCCAGGCTCAGCCCCTGCCTGGTTCCTCAGCCTGTAGGAATGTTTGGCAGCATGTCAAGGTGTTTGGATGCCAGTGAGACAAAGTAAACTGTGCTGAAGTACTGAAGAAAATTTAAATGTGAATTCTCTGTATGGTACGTGACTGAGCAGAAGGGAATGTTGGTGGTCTAGGCAAAAAAACATGGGGAGACTTTGGGGATGAAGTCATTCTGGAAACTATGGGATGACATGTAGATTATTTTGATCAAAAAGTCCCGTAGAAACCAACATAATAAGCTGCATCACAGCGATAAATTTTGTTTCTTCCAAGTAACTGTCACAGCAAAATGAGCAGTGCTTAATTCAGCAGTGAATCAGCATTTCCCTTCTCCTTGTTTCTGCCCCTTTCCAAACTTCACAAGAGTTTTGTGGAAAAGAGTCAGACATTACCAGAAAGCAAAGGCGTTCATGGGTTATGCTGAAATGAACACACATTTGAACCAGCTTTATCCATCCTTGCTTTTAATGGGGCCCTGAAGTCAGCAGAGGCTGTTAGGTGCTTTTGTAAAACAGATTAACAATAACACTAAAGTTCCTCCCATATCTCAGTCCTCCCAAAGAGAGAGACTTAGGCTAAGATACTTTAAAGCTCTCCTTAGGCTGTTGTGAGTTCAGTGTGAAAATACATCCACTGCCATCTCACGTGAGCATTTACAGCTCCAGAAGTGGGGGCCTTTTGCTTTCACTATGGCTTGTCAGATTATGGAACTGAGGGAACCATTGATCCCTCAAGGATAAAAATCAGTGGAAGGCTCCTTAAAAGAAAAACACAGTATATTCAAACAGCATTAGAGAAAGTCCTCTCTTTGTAGTTTGAGATGTTGAAGGTCAAGGGGAAAAAAAAAAATAAAAAGAGCCCTACATAAAAGTAAAAAAAAAAAATAAGTTTAGGCAAAGCAGTCATTGCCAAGTAAAAGTAGAAATAAAAATAAAACTTTAAAGCTTTTCCTGGTATCTGTCCTTTGTTTTTACAATGTTAGCTATTCAAAAGGAAAAAAAAAAAAGATTAAGCTGTCTGCTTTCAAACTGCTGTATGGTGTTGATAGTAAATAAAGTGTCTTATTTACTGCTGAAGAGCAAAAATGTCAAGTTCATAAAAGACCAAATGAAAACTTCAGGAAAATCAGGGCTGAGGAATTCTGAATTCTGGTCTAATTGAAGAGAATGCCATCATTTGTAGTGGAAGTCAGGGCCCTGTATCTCGGTAGAAAAAAGACCAGCTTTGGAAACTTTAGCAGTAAGCTACTGCTGTCCTTAGTTGTAATTGGAATAACACTTTCTAGTGGGAGCAAGGAAAACTGGAGCACCTGGATGTGGTTTGCCCTGGGTAAATTGCTTCCTTTTCATGTCTTGTGTTGCATCCTAATAAATTATATCCGTAAGACAAAAATTGCCAATTTTGCACCAGAAGTTTGAAGGAGGCTTTG